GTCCCAGCCTGCCAAATACTCTGGAAGTTGGCCATTATACTGGCCAACTGACTGGAATGCGGTGGTACCGGCGCCGGCCTAGCGACATGTTGGCTCATCGATGTCCCAAAGCCTTAAACAATGTGCATTCGAAAACAGAACGCAAATAAGAAAGACATTTACCCTGATGTTTTTTCTTTTCGATCTGTTTTTGTCCGCCTTTTTGAATTTTATTTTGCTTTTCTTGTTGTTTATTTGTTTGTTCGTTCACTTTTTGGCATTTATTTACAACACTTCTCTTTTGGATTCGATTTAGCTTTTCAAAACAGGTGTTGTTTTTTGGACCAACTTGGCTTTTCGTAGTGACACTTGGAAGCAACTTGAAGCATGTGGTCCTCATGGTTCTCTGATCTATAAATTAAAATCCAGGCACCATTCGAAGTACCCGCGGGAGGAGGTAAATTGAGGCAGTCAGTACAACTACAGTAGATCTTGGCTTGCACAGCTGCTGCTTCCATACCAGTTAAATACAAGTTTAAATACCACTGGCAAACAACATCGAACAAATTTGAGGAAGACTCGCAAGAACCCATGATGGCATGCAAACACAGTTCATGCGGATGCGTTCCTCCCCACTTTTTCACTCTCTGCCGGAGTTTCTGTCACTTCAGCGTGGCCGCCTCAGCTCGGCAAACATGGCTATACATGCCGTGCGTCAAACAGCAAAGATCCGAGGACAAATGTCGCGCTCCGTGAACTACCACGAAAGCGGAAACTGCCCGTGTCTCAAAGCGGGGGACTTTAGGCTGCGTAATTGGCCTTGGCTCTGGCATAGAGTGCCTTGCCTTGTGCGGTCTTTCCGTTCACCAAACAGAAACCTTTGATGCCCAGCTCCTTCCTGGCCTGTGTCACTGCGGTGGTCCAGGCAGAGATGTTCTTGTAGGCCTTCTTGCCGGCAGCATTCTGCTTCTTGGTCACAGTCTTGTTTCTCTTGTTCAGCATTAGATCTGCCTTTTTGTGCCCAGATGCAGTCTTCTCTTTGTTGCCTTTGAAAACGACAACTTTGGCCAGCTTGCCTCGAGCAATCTTGCTCACTGCCTTCTTCTTCATAGCGCGGGTTTTCATCGATGTCTTCGCTTTCATGGCCTTCATGGCCTTCATGGCTTTCATAGCCTTCATTGCAGACTTCATTGGGAGAGCCATGCTGAAGCAAAAGCCAACAATGAGATCTAAGGCCGAGCTAACTGCGAGGAAGCTTGAACCATTGGTGGCGACCAAAGTGTCAAGTAAGCGAGTAGCTTGATCCCAACTCTTCTGAGAGACTTTCTCCTTGAGAAATGCAAAGTGCTCCATGGAGTTCCCGCCTCGGCCAAGGAACCTGGGCGTAGAGGGCACCAAATATGTGCCACAGGGCTGCAAATGTGACGTTTTACAAACGGTTTGCCAGTGCAAGAATCACAAAGGCTTGGGTCCAATGGTGAGCATACCTGTTTTCTTGACTCTTCACCAACATAGGACATCAAATGATGGATGCTTTGCGTGTGCCTGATAAATGGAAATTAGATATACAGAGCTTGAACATATACCCTCCTGTGAACTAACATAGATGTTGAAAACCCACCATGTGTATTTCCACATCTTTTTGTATGTTTACCCTAGGGTATCCCCAATTCCAAAGGATTAGAACATCATTTCCCCTATTTACAATGGCTATAAAAGGTGCTATGCCCAATTTTCAGACACCCAATACTGTAATATGTGTATAGTATATATATATATATACATATATATATTATATTTGTTGGTTAGTCATATTATCATCCCACTATATCCCCATAAATGAATGTTATATTATGGTGGATCATAGTATTGGTGGCATTGTGCGAAGTTACCCTTAGTTTCCTACTGAATGATATATCACTTATCTGGTCACTTAATATGTATTCTTAGTATATCCTAATACTGGGATTGGTGTATATATTCCACTATATCCCATAAATGAACAATATGTCTCACTATAATCACTATATATCCCATAAATGAATGATATATCTAGATATATCCTCTTAGTATGTCCCATATGTCCCATCATATTTTGGTATTTCCTACTGCATTTTGGCTACTTCCCATCTCGAGGATCCGAGGATCCGACGCTGCGTTTCTGCACGTCCATCTCCTCCAGGCAGGAAGGCATGGGATATCACAATACCACGTAGTGACAAATATACAATATATACCATATATATATATAGAATATATAGAATGTGTGTATATATATATATTAAAATATAATATATCATAATATATATATATGTATATTATATTATATATATTATATATATATATTATACCATAAGGGGATCATACATGCTCATTCAAATATCTTATGTTCTCATTTAGTATCTAATCGTTAGTTCCATTTAGAGTAGAATTGAGTGATATAAGTTGATATAAGTCAAGAAGTCCCTGCAACCATAGTCAACACGGTTTGAATGTCCCTTGCAACCTTCTGTAAGTGACCTCACAAGTGCCCAAGGTTGCCAAAGCAAACTTCCTAGCTACAAAGGCACTTGGAAACCAATCTTCCAAATTCTACTACTACCAACATCCAAATCATCCAAGAGCCTTTGAGGCCCAGCTACCCTCCTGGGGCCCTTTGAGGATGAAGAACAGCTCACGTTGGTGGTCCACATCCATGAGCACACCTGGGCATGGCCATTTCACAGCTGAATTGGAAGGGTCAAGTTTGATGATGGCAGCTGCAGATTGTATCATATTATGATCTATATATTTACGTACGACTTGACTGTGACTATGACTTGACTATGACTGACCATCAAGGTATGACTGTTGGGTGCCAAAGTTTCATATAGCTGTCGTTGTTGCAAGGTCTTCGCGCAATGATTCAACAAACTATGTTTAACCAAAGTCTACATTTCCTGAAGCACAAGCAGGAACTCTGACATACACACAAAGACACTAAGAAGCTGAATAAAACGTTCCAAACAACACCAAGAAAAGTGGAAAAACGTCACATGCAGCATCAATGAATCAATGGTTTTCCCAACTACAACTACATGTCGCCTGTTCACCACATCCGCCGATGGCTGAGTCTACTGCAATTGCCCGTTGGCCCGCCCAGGAGGGAAGTCTGCACGCATGCGGTGCTGGGTATCTACCGTGTCCCCATCCATTTTTGGGGACGCAAGTTGAATCCTGAAATATTTTACAATGTTCACTGATATTCTGAGAATATTCTGATCTTAGTTTTTTTGCGTGACCGTTGCCATTGCACATTTAAGAAACTGACTTTAATGATGGCAATAAGGCATTTTCACCTGCAACACTTGAAGATCTATTCGGAAGTCATTGGAACTTCGTAGTCCATAATCGGTATGTCTTTGTAAACGGGAATGCCCCAAAGTATGGCATTTTCCGACAACAAACCAGTTGGGATTCTCCTGAAGTCAAGGTCTCAAAAACCAATGCCCTCACACCAAAATGGCTGGGAAATGGATGTTCGTTCCCGAAAACAGGCGTTGACCCATCCCTATCCCCAGAATGGCGCCTCCATGGCCACCGACTGATGACAGTGTCGTTCGTAGTACTCTTTCCCAGCGCCGTTGAAGTGGTACTGCGCAGGGCAGGGAAGGCAACTCTGCACTGGTGTGATCGAAACTTTAGCTACAAAATACAGTAGCACACATTTCCAGTACATATGCTGTCATATGCTGTCACATACTCATGCTCTTTAAGTCACACAGTATGCGACATTTTCACCTCAGGCTCCCGCAACCAATGGAGGTGGTCGAGCTTGACGGAACGGAGCCTGTTCTGCGCCACCGACTGATGATCCCAACATGTCCACCGAGGTGGATAGAGCCAACCTGGAAAAAATCCTGGTCATTGGTGAAACCATGTGAAACCAATCGTGTTTTACAGATGAGTGCTTTAAACATCTTTAAACATCTTTAAACCATCCCCAAATGATAGATTTAAACATTTATATGTCATTTATTATTGGGTTTACCGTGGTTTACACCCATTCCATACTTTCTCGTTGTCATTGGGCTAAGACTTGGTTCTCAACCATTGGTACCACTGTGCAGCTGAACCTGTTTTCAGACACTTTCACTTTCAGCTGCAAAAACATCACGTTTGTGATGGTGTGACACCCCCGCAGTCCGCATTGTCAAGGGGCTCCTGTGGCCATTGAGTCTTTCCCCATTCTCTGCCCAATTCACTTGTGAGGATGGTTGGCAACGCCGATGCTTCCTCAACAGCTATGCATCGAGCGATGGTTGCCTCCACCAAGAAACCCTCCAGCATCATTGACTGTGCCTCGCGATGGGGTGCAGGAAAACAACCAATCTGATCCAGCTGCTTCTCATGAGACCCGGGTGTGGTTTGAATCTGTTGTTCTTCCAGAAGGTTGAAAGCTATGAGCCGACCAAAATATCCAAAATCGGGTTACCTCCAGAATTGGATTGTTTGTACATAGAAATGACAAACAGCTTCCCAGGTCTTTCCCTAAAAAAATGTTGTTATTGTTGGCTTTGACTACTAAGCAAGGTTGCGAGAGGTGGCAGAAGAATTGCCATGACCCTGCCTTGAAGTCACCAGGGTCGATTCTATTCGCAAACCGCAGAATATATTCCTGGTACTCGTCACAGGTCACCGGACGCAGTGACGAATCGAGCTCACGCTGATACTTCTGAACAAATTCATCTTTGATGAGTTGCTCGTCTCCGGGTGTCAGCTGCTTCTCCGCATGGACCTTCGTCTGATTCAGACCCATCTCTGAAAATTCATCGACGCTGAGCAGCCCATCGCCATTCAAGTCAGCCAGCTCAAATAGCTTTCGAGCTGTCTCGAGGCGTTTGGTCTCTAGATCATCAACTCGAACTTCAGTCCACTGATCAGGTTGCTGCCCCGCGCGGCAGTTGCACATGGGAAGGCTCCCCATGAACCCTTAAGCTCCCACACAGGGAGCCGGAGACTGCGGCGGTTGCTGAAAGCCAAGCTGGTAGGAAGCAAATTGACCCGGATACGAAGGTTCGGGAGCTGGAAGAACCGAGGTGAAAAAAGATGGAACATAATGCTGAAATAGGTTCTTAATGCTGATTTTTCATGCTGAAAAATGCTGAAAATAATCCCCTCTGGTTGGAGATTTGCCAGCTTTCCATGTGGGCGTGAAAAAACACATACACATACACCGATGTCTTCTCTGGTTCGTATATTCTGACCGGGAACCCTTTTTCATAAGGCAAGGGCTGTTAGAAGGGCTGTTTGACAACTGACGATGTGCCTGGAATTTGTCAAAGCTCCATTTACTTTTCCGCCCTGACCTGATCGACAGCACGAAAACACAACCGGAATTTCACACTCAATGTGCCCTTAGATGCCTTTAGCACAGCCGAAAAAAAAGCCAGGATGGGATCCACAATGATCCACATCTCATCTAGTCATGCACTCCGGACATTTCTGCGAGTGAAGTGAGTGAACTTGCACAAACCCAACGCCCAAGGCTTGAGGTTCTAACTCTGGTCCCATCTTGAAGAATCCATAGTCCTGGGCGCATGAAAGTTGCCTGCACCCTCTGAGCTTGCCAAGATCGAAATGGATTAGGATGGATTATGAAGGTGATTTTCCTTTTGGAATCCAGAAATATATGTTCCTTGGCTTCGAAGTTTACATTTGTTTTGGTGCTATTCCACTTCTCTTGCTGTTCACCAAATGTCTGGCACTGAGCAGAACACCACTCTGCCATTGAAATCGCAGGCCTTATGTGTGCGTGTGTGTGTGTGTGGGTGTGTGTGTGTGTGTGTGTGGGGCCTTTACAGCTTGTAAACCGGATAAAGGTGGTGGGCCTTAATTTTCGAACATGCGAGAAATATAATATATATCTAAAGAAATATAATGAAATATATCCGTCATCTATTCATATATAGTCTGTAGTTGACAATGGGACAAAAAAATCGACCGGAGAGGAAGTAGATGTGCCATGGCGCAGTAAAACCCGGTTTTATGCACCGCTCACGCCCTGCCGGCGGATGAAGATGATGACCTGTCGCGACGGAGGGTCTGTTCTGCTGCAATCTAGTCGACATGAATTTCCTATAGCTTGCACTGCCAAGGGCGCTCGACAAAAGGACATGCTAAGCATATCCAAAAGATTCCAAAAGTCAGGTTTCGTAAAGCTGTTTGGACATGAACAAAAGACTGCACGACATAACCTCGCACATTTTAGCATCTCACAAGGTCATGATCCGAGGTAAGGCCATGCGATGACCATGTCAGCATGCCTCCTCGTTGAAAGATCCAGAGGCCTTCTGCAGGTCAGAACGCTTTACAAAGTCATCCAGGTTGGGGAGTAGGTCACCAAATGCTTCTGGCCCATGCCAGCACCTTTTGGAAGACATCAGCAAAACCAATGCCCCAATGCCCTTGTGCCTAGGCAATGTACGAGGCCAGTGTTTCTTCTTTTTTGGCCCAGCTTCGCCAACTGTTCTTAGCCTTCCATTGACCGGACTCTGCCATGTGACATAGCTCTACCTTGCACTTTTCAGGTTCGCCGTTACGGCCTAGTTCCATATCTTGCCTCCCTTCGGGGTTTTGCAGATGTTGTTTTCTGGATTGTAACACATGTGTAAGCCCTGGTGTTGTTTCAAAGCCACAAAGCAATCATACTTTCGCCAATAGATGAAATATTTGGAGCAATCATCATACTTGACTTCCCTGGCTTGCCATTTGTAGACATTCTGCCGAAGTTTTCAGACGTCAACGAAGGCTTTGTCTTCAGAGAAGTGCGTCCAAAAACGAGTTTCGCCTCCTCGGGAGCTGGCTCCAGGTCTTCACAGTCCACAGGTCCACCGCCTGAATGGCCAGTGTTTCGCTGGAGCTCTCCATGTGCACAGCCACTGCAAGGCCAAGGCCGAAGGTCAAAGACAAAGTATGTAGGATGGCCATGGCTTTAATGTCTAAAGTATGTTAATGTTGTACAAATACTGATGGCTTTGCAAACTTAGAGATCTATGGCTTCAAATCATTTGAGCCATTTTGAGCCCGTGTGTTTCAGCATTGATGCGACCGTTGTTCAGGTCATGGATGATATGAAGCTTCCACAGTGGACTCCCTCCACTACTTCTGCCAACACCCAATCATATCCAAACACCATTAAACAACATCAAGACAAACTGAAGGCCAATTTTCTGGCCCGACCAATGACTTGTGTTCACCCACTTGTGACATCTGCTCACAGCAAATGCACTTGCTAAAGTCTGGTTGAAATCATCCCTGTCATTTAGAATTGCTACACCATTTTGTTGCATGGTCTGATATGATCTGTCAAGCTCAGCTGATGTGAAGACTTCGCAAATTGGCATCAACCCCTTGATGAATTGTGCTGTGTCAAACAGGCAGGGCGTGCGGGTCCGTGATGGTCTCAAAGTACCAATGCATCAGCTGAAGAAATTGACCGCATGTCGCATGGAAATGAATGGAAACCATATGGAAACCATATGGAAACCATATGTTTGGAAGCATGGTTTTGGATCTGGTGGAATTCTTGGTTTGTGCTTGACAAGCGTAACCAACACCGCAGGGTCGTGTTCCCGTCAAACCGTTTGGGATTTCTGAGCCAACCCTCCCCAGAAACCAACCACCTCCAGCAAACTGAAGCTCAGTCCGAGAGCACAAAAAGTGGAAGGTTCCTCCATCAACAACAAATGTCTGTATGGTTCACAACTGCGGTGCTAACTGAGTAGGGTTCAAAACCCGCAGGGGCGTCCCTCTATACTGGCTGGTTGAGAACGGATTTCCCAGAACATCACGTTTCCACTTTTGATGACTTGAAAACCCGGACTAATGGACTATAGATCAAGGTCTATGTTTTAAAACCCAACAATAAACCATCCCCAAAATCATACATGGGTGCTATAAACCATCCCTTAATTGGTGGGTTTATCATTGGGCTTCCTACATGATTCCAAACGTAGACCCTGCAAACCTCTGGGCTGCCACACAGCAGGGCCTTTCAACCGCGAGGCAACGGCCTGCGGTGAGAGGCCGTGAAGCGAAGCCAAGAGTTCCCCCGTATGGTCCTGGCTGATGCGGCCGTGGAAAATGGCGTCGAAGCTCAGAAAAATCCATTGGTTCAAGGATTTTATCTACAGGTAACCCATATCAACCCCCATATCCCCCATATCCCCCATATCCCCCATATCCCCCATATTTGATGGGAAAAATATATAAAAATATGCTAAGAACACGACGGGACTGGCGCAGTACACACGTTTGCTGTTAACGTTCATGTGGACTTGCACCCGCAACTACTGCTACGTCACTGTTGCTACGTTGCAGAAATTTAGATGAGCTATTAATGTTGATGTTGATGCTGAGTTGCACAAGCACCTACTGCGACGTCAACGCAAGACTGTGGAACAGGTTGCACCATTTGTGTACAAACACACCACAATACTGTGGGACAAGAGTTTTTCGGCTTTTGGGCTGATGATATAGAGCACCACGAGATGTCGCAAAAACCAATGCACATACGTATTGCCCCTCTAGGATTTTTTGTTATTATATACAGTAGGTTTCTTGCAACAGTGCGGAATACACGAAAAAGTCGGCTTGTGGAAAGAATCAGCTTTCAAAATACATCCCCCAAAAAGAAACAAACATGTCATGATATTTCGCCAATCAACTCAATCCGCTCAACATCAACTGGTCATGTCCACTTCGAGTCCCTGGTCACTTGAAAAAACATGGCACAATCCAATGGTTGAGTTACCCTCTGGTAATTTAACATAGCTATGGAAAATCGCCATTTTTAATGGGAAAATCCACTATTTCTATGGCCATTTTCAATAGCTATGTTAAATTTCCAGAGGGTAAACTTGCCAGAGTGACCACCTGCAATGGAACCTCAGGCCCATAAAGATTGAGACGCAATTTCCCACACATATCCTGCCATGAAGTTGGCATGGTTGGCATGGTTCTTCCGTTCAAAGAATATAGTCACTAGCACTAACTAAACCCTATGGTAATCAATCATGGTAAATAGGCCATGTAGACATATCTAAATATAAATTGTGATACATTGTGGATTTTCCAGCAAGCCATGTTAGATTGCCAGAGGCTAGTGAGGCTAGTGTGCATCCTGGCTTCTCACCTCAAAGATGTTTCCCTGAGCCCCCTGACCCACGGTCTCTCCAAGAACTTCGCATGCAAGGCAGTTGAGGTCATTAAAGCCTCCACAAATTCATTGAGCAGCTAGAACCCACCACCTCCCCCTGGATAAATAAGGGGAATATGAAAAGTTATACCCTACTCATTCGCACTGGAATGGGAAAATCCGCTACACATCTGGGTCAAGTGGATAAATTATAATGATTCACCAAGTTGAAATAAGGCCTTTGACAGATAATTCCCCTTCCCAACCATCATTCAGCAATGACCCCGCGATATTGTTGTATTGTTATGATCCATCCAGCATCCCTTCTCATTTTTTGCACAATTCTCTCTGAACGACCTGACAAGCAGAATTAAAGTGCATTGACCATGGTTCACGCATCTAATTGACATGCACAATAGATCACACTAGTCACATGTACATATATCTATATAATATTTAAATATGTATATATATATACGTATATATAATATGTAATTATTGCAATATGCCATAGACGCGTGGCAAAAACTTGATGTTCAGCCACTCTCCCATGCCCTCGAGCACTGTCGAGCACCTGATCTGCAAAATCACCAAAGAGGCGCAGCACTTCGGTGGCCAAGGCAAAGAGCGCCTGCAAACTCTTCACCTTGGGGAGGCCATGCTGAACCCCCAAAGGCGATCCCCAAGGGGTGATTCACCAAAACAGCATTCAGAATGGAGAATCGAGGGCAACCATGACTTTCACTTGATCATGTTAAAATTGTTATTCAGAACAATCAAGATATCATGAAAGATATGAAAGAACAATGAAGATGACCCGTGAACGGTTTCTCCTTG